AAAAAAAAAAAAAAAAAAAAAAATGCTGGGATGTAGCTCAGTGCAAAGGCCCTGGGTTTAATCTCCAGTACTGGGGGGTGAGGTGGGGATTTCACTTACATGAAACTGTTCAAAGAGCAATAAAATTAGACAAATGTACTTGCTATGTAAAGACATATGGCATCTAACAGAGGGGGAAATCTCTTAACTACTTTTTTTTACAGAGAATTCTTGGTGCAAGAAATGAGTTTAAGAGTTATGACTTTTCCACCGTTTTTCTTGGTGGGAAAGAAAGGCTTGCATTCTTGGTGATTCTGTTTCAAGGAAAAGCCATTTGAAGGCTGAAACGGGACAAGATGAGACAGACTTCATAGCATGTTCTCCTCTTGCCCAAGAGTTTTACTTCTTATTTAGAAAATTCAGAGGTGGGCTGGATTGTAGCTCAGCAGCTCTGGACCTGCCTCGCAAGTGCATGATCCTGAGTTCCAGTCCTGGTATGGGTGGGGGGATTCAGGTTTTAAAAAAAACAAAACTCCTCCTTTATCCCATATACTAGCATTACAAGTGAGAACTCCAAGGGCAATGGACAGAGAGCCTTGCTTGGACTGGGCTCTGGTGATGCAGTGACAGGGAAGAGCTCAAGTCCCATCTTGTCTCTAGCTGGTCTGAAGTGGACACAAAGGTCAGCCCTGAGAGATTTGTTTTCTCTCACTGTATTACATTAGCCCACATCTATACTGAGAACAAGTTTTATATTAATTTTAAGCTCAACAGGAAGTTAAAAACTGGAATATTTTGCTATTCACTCAAAGTAAGTGAAAGAGGGCAGTTAAAAAATTTTTTTTGGAGACAGGGTCTTGCTATGCAGTTCAGGTTGGCCTTGCATTCACTCTGTAGCCCAGACTGGCCTCAAAGTTTGGGAACCTCCTGCTTCAGCCTCCTGAATACTAGAATTATAGGTGTGCACCACCACGCCCAGTAGGTTCTCTATTTTTTATTTTTAAAGCAACTGACTGAAGTCCACCTGTCTTCAAGTTGAGAGGGAAGAAGGAAATAATAGCTGCCTCTTGGTATCAATGGAGCACTATAAGGGTAGGCACTGAACTAGGTGCTGTGCATAAACTATGGCACCCACTGTCACATCCTGTGCAGGATCATTAGTGTCCCTATGTTAGAGGTGAGGAAACCAAGACTCCAGGGTAGTGGTGGTGAACACATGGTACTCGTGCTGCAGCCAGCTGTCTGTATTATTAAAAGCTCTAAAACGTTTCCCATCACTGCTCTACATGTTAAGAGTCTTGCCCGGATTTTAAGGTTAGTAAGCAACATAACAAGGACTTAAACCTGGGGTTTAGGTCAATATGGTACAAAGGACCATGTGTTTGAGTCTACTCACTGCTCTGGACATTTCCTTCTCAGTGTATTAAAAAGTAAATATCTTTTATAATACTAGAAAAAAAAAGTAAATAAAATACTGAAAGAAAATGAGTACCCACAGTACCCTCCCTATCTGTTTTAGAACTTTATTTGCCCTACACTCACTTCTCTTTTCCCTTAAAGTCATAAGATGGCATGGAAGGTGTGGGACTGATTACTGATAAGCATTTTTACCACCTGAAGAGCATACACCATTCTAACTCTCCTCAGATTTGGCTGATACACAAGCAACAACTTATTTTGGGCCCTTTGGTTATATCATAAAAGCAGACTTCTAAAAACATCACTTTTGCACAGGGTATGGTGACACATACTGGTAATTCCAACTACTTGGTAGGCTGAGACAGGAGGATCACAAGTTCATGGCCAGACTGGACAATTTAAGGAGACCCTGATTGTTTCAAAACATAAATAAAAAGGTATAGCTTAGCTGTAGACGGTTCAGTCCCCAGAACTTCAAGACAAACAACCAAAACAAAACAGCTTACTTTAAGAGGGGACAGGGACCCTAAGAGAGTGTCAGCCTGTGATAGCACAGCAGAACTTCAAGCGTCCCCTCTGGTTCACAACAAGGACAGGGCCAGATCCAGACCATCCAAGCCCTCCAAGCCCAGTCTGCAGGTCTGAGGCTCCTGCAGAGACTGCTGGCTGGTCTGCATCATGAAGTCTGGGTGTGACACTACTTGTCTGCACTTGAAGGAACAAGGGGAAGTACACACATTTGGAGAGCAGCTAGGAGTGGTATCGTATGAATATGGAATGTGACATAAACACAGACAAAGCCAACAGGCTGGGGATGTGGCTTAGCATAGAACATGTGGTCATCACACTGGGCTCTGGGTTTGATCCACAGCATAGAAAAGAACAGCCCCCACCAAAAAAAACGCCAGCTCCTACCTTTTGCACAGATGGTGACTCAAGAGCATTCAACCCTCTGAGAATTCTCCAGCTCTGCAGAGCCATTTCATGCTCAGGTCTCCTCCCCATTCAAACATTTGCCAATACACAGTAAAGGTAACAGACACACTTATCTGGATTTATTTGCAGTCTAATCTTTCTACACCAACTGCCCAGATAAAAATATAGACCAAATATCTACAGGGTTCATTTCATTTTGGCTGGCTGTATCTTTGATATTTACAGAATTTTATTTTTTGAGAGAGGAGGGAGGAAATGGGGTCTTGCTATGTTGCCCAGGCTGGACTTGAACCTTTATCCTTCAACCTCTGCTGCCCAAGCATCTGTGATTACAGGCACGTGCCACTAATCCTGGCTTCTACATATTTCTGATAATATCTTCTGAACCCTGTGCAGCAGAGTTATAGGCTGCAGCGACTATGTGGTTCTCTGGTAAGTAAGTAGAAGGATACCTTAGAAAGCCTGGGCTTTATTTTATAGTCTTAAAGCAGAATGATGATGGGAGAGTTTGAGAGTTCATTGGTGTGTGGGTCTCAGAGTCATTTGATCGCTATGCCTCTGCTTTGTTATGAAACAGGAACTGAACGTGGATGTCATATGACATAAATGAAGTGCTCTGCACACTCCAGAGCAAGATAAAGACCTTCTAAAGCCATGTCCCTATGTCCAAAGGGAAGGGAACCCAAACAAACAGACATTCAGGGGTTCAACCATGGCACTTACCTGTAGCGCTCTTCCTGTAGGGTCTGCATTATTAAGGAGTAGTCCCTCTGGTAGTGCTCCTTGAGAGTCTCAAAGGACTCCTCCAGTCTTGCCTGGGTCTCACGGATCTCCTGGATTTCATGGAGCAGTGCATCAAACCCCGAGCTCTGCATGTCTAGGGTGTTGGTCTTGGAGCTAGATGCCCCCACAGCTATGCCCCCCGTGGTGCTATTGGCTCCCACAGAGCCTGATGTGGCGCTAGAGCAGTCTTCCTCACTACCATATTTTGGGCTGGACTGAAAGTTTGAAATCACCCCCAAAACCTTGGCCCCATCTTCCACTTGGCCTTCCTCCAGAGAGTCCTTCAGGTTAGGGATGTTGTCTGCACTGCCAAATTTATTCCGTATCAGCGAGGCAATCTCCCTGGGCTTTGAGACCACAGCCCCTGCTGCCGAGTGGGTTGCCTGGGAGAAGCTGGAGAAGCCACCTTTGACACTGTCCACCACACCTTCACTGAAACCAGTCACCTTAGCTCCCACGTCCTTCAGGCCCTGGTGCATGTCCCTGAAGACATCCTTTGGCTGCCGGGGGATCCCATTCTGTTCCACCTCTCGGAGCTTCCGATGGTAGTGCTCAAGCTTCTTCTGCAGCTGGAGGATGGTCTGGGCAGACTTCTGGTTCTTCTTCTCGAAGACCTGCTTGATTCGTGCAGCCTGCTGCTTGTCGGCACTGTTGGCAAGCTTTAAGTACTCAGCGACGTTGTCATCCCGGGCTGTCTGAGCGATCTTGATCTGCTCTGTGAGCTTCAGGATCTTCTGCTGCAGGTGGGCGATGGCTGCCTTCGTGCGCTGAGGGTCAGGGATGCCATCTGCAGACTCAGTGTGGATGCTGCCATCGGCACTGGAGGCCACAGCACTGGAAGCTTGGGCAAGGCTGCTTACTTCCAATCTCTCGATCTAGCACAAAAGCAAGAAAGGGATGTTACAAGGAGCCCAACAGGATTCATCTCCTGACTATAAGCTAGCATGCATTGGATACTTGTCTGCTCTCAACTCCCAGCACAGACAGCTAACCTACAGGCCCTGTCTCCACATGGATCCCATCCTTATATATGCACACTCTAAGCAACACAGATATGGCACATGAAAAAGATCTTCCAAAGACAGTCAACTGAGGGTAATCGTCAAAGTATTTCTTTAAATGACAAAGCTCTCTAAGTAGGTTTAAAGCATGAACCAATTCACATTTTCTTCAGAGGCAAATCTATGCAAGACAAAGCTACACCTGCTTTTCAATATGACTGCATAAATACTACTTCAGTGTTCAGACATTAATCACTGTTAATTCTGGTCCACACTCACAGATTGTCATCTGAAAATGCTGGTAAGCACAGGTATGGTAATGCCTACAAATAAACATCAACTTTTTAATCACAGCATCTCTGTATCTAAATCATGTCACAGAGCAGTGGGACTACTCTCTATTGTTATTTGGAGAATGGGAAGGTACTGCTGAAAGCGGCAAAGGTGAATACTATCACATGCAATGGAGGGAAAAAAGTCTTTCCAGCAGTGCCTGTGAGTGTGGCTTATGGTGAGTGAAAATAGGGCCCGAAAGGGCCTTAGAGATGGCTTTCTGTTGAGCAGGAACGGAAATGAAAAATGAAATAACTACCTTAGGTTAACAAAAATTCTCAATACAGTGTCAAACTACAATTTTACCATTCTGGAGAAAGATCAGAGCCTTTTTCTTGGTTCCTATCCATAATATGTCCTAGCAGAAATTTGCAGGAATAATGATATGTATGCAGTGACCTCTCCCACATACATTTTTGTGGTAATAATATACCAAATCTGAAACAGTCATGAAATGCCAATAATTAACCCTCCAGCCTAAAAGTGTGTCTTTTCTTTTTCCACCTTGGCCATGTGGCCTTAGTTTATCATCTGAGGAGGAATTATGCTGATCTCTGAACCATAGAACATCTTTAGTTCACTGCTGGATTAATGTATTATCATGGTATGGGTGAAAACAGTAATGTTGGCTCAGTGGTAAAGCACTTGTCTAGCATGGCAAGGCCCTAGGTTCTGGCTCCAGCATGCTCTAGTTTTCTTAGATTCTCATTCTGTTGTGAATATTAATTTACATATAATCAGTTGACTAAGGAAATGTAGATACAGAAATCAAGTTAAACTATTAACCTGAGAAGATAAAAATGAAAGATACTAGTGAAAAAATGTTTTAGGGGCTAGGATCAAGGTTTGGTTACTCCTTTAAAATAAAAACAAGCTTTCAACTGAGTATTATTTACAAATGATCACATTTTATTAATTATTTTTTTTGGGGGGGGGTTTGAGACAGGGTCTCACTATGTAGTTGAGACTGACCTGGCACTCACTATGTAGCTCAGGCTGGTCTCAAACTTACATCGATCTTCCTCCCTCAGCCTCCCGAGTGCTGGGATTACTGGCGTACGCCAAAGTAATCACATTTTAGATATACATAGTAACTACAAAGTAAGCCAGACTGCCTCCGGTCTGCCTTCTGTCCCTGTATGTGCCCAACCTGCGCAGGGTTCCCACTCAGGATCATCCATATGCCTTCTGGAGGACAGTGGACAGAACCCAGGGACTCAGCCTCCACAGAAAACCAACTTACATAGCAATAGTGACACCACAAGCAAGAATCATGGGATGACCTAGTAACTCCTCTGGATTTTGGCAGGCACTGGTTTTCGAAGAAGACACTGAGAAATGGAGTAGGAGTGGGGAACACAGTGGAGAAACACGGGCAGCAGAGGTGAATGTTTCTTTTTGAGCTGCAAACAGTCCTTAAGGGCAGTCCATGGTCTGGCGTGTACACTTGGCCCTAAAAGTGTGAGTTGTCAGCTTGAAAACTGGTTACACTGCACAACCTCACCAGCTGCAAGATGAAGGTAACATTTAACTCAAGAGATTGCTGTGAGGGTGGACTGCGTCCACAATCACAAAAGCTTAGGACAGTCCACAACACAGAAGAGGCTGTGAGCACTGGCTATTATTTTTGTACCATCTGAGTAGTTCTTTCCAAAAGTTCAAATGTTAAAAGATTCTGGAACAGAATCCTTCCTACGACCTTTCACATTTCACACACAAACAAGGAAACTATAAAGCTGAACTGAAGGAACACTAGACAGTGGGCTTCATTTGTGGAATGGGACCTGGCCAGCTAAGCTCTGTCTCTCACAATAAGCCTACACAATCCACACTGCCACCCCAGTTTACACCTCACTCGGCAGGCTGGACAAAGGCATCTACTGACAGGTGTCTTTCCTGACCATGTCCCGAGGGCCTGTCATTTCTGATCATCTTGTCTTCCTTCAGAGGTGACAGAAACTGTGTGGCCACCAGTTCTGTTCTATCACTGTAACAAGCAGGTTACGGTGTTTTGTCTGCACTTTTGTTTCTTACTATTAAGAACTCATTTGCCGGACTTAAATTATCTATTAACTGTGAATTAATTGACAGGGATCAAGCCAGTATCTGAAAACAATGACTCTGCAGAGGCTGATGGAAGCAAGCCATCCAGGGCCCAAACACCAGTGTGCATTAGAGCTGCCTGTTTACCCATCAGGGTCCACCAGCACCTAGTCAAGAAGATGAACACCACAAGCTACAAGACCCTAGGCTCAGAATGACTCCACTAGGCTCACCAAGCCACTTGCTTGCTTGAGTTGAGTCTATGCTGCTTCTCCTATATGATAGGGCTATTATCTTTCTGTAAGATTTTTTTTTTTCAAAAGATGCTAAACATGTTTAATCAGGGGTTGGGGGTGTGTAGCTCAGCTGTAGAGTGTTTGCCTAGCAGGAAGAGGCCTTGGGTTTGATTTCTGGCACTGTCAAAGAACACCACCACCCAAAAAGCAAAAAAAAAAAAAAAAAAAAAAAAAAAAGAAGGTTAAATCAAATTATATCCAGAAGCATAGTATTAAATAGAAATTACAGGTCACTATTTTGGGCCCCCAACAGATCACACTAAAAATCAAAGCACAGTCCACATCATTAACCTGCATCATCTGACCTTCAATCAGGATTAGAGGTCACAGCCAAATCTCCCTACAGGCCAGTTTCAATTGGCATAATCACCAAGTCCCTCTGCTTTAACACTTTCACAACAAAAACAACCTAAAGTAACCTGATGTTACCCAGTTAGACTGTTTCTTATTGTTCTCTTTTCCTGTCCTGTCTTATGAGGAAAACAATTCTGAAATGATCCTTTACTCTTTGTCTCTTCTTTCTTCAGCTTTTTTCTTTTCAGTACTGGGAATTGAACCACTGAATTACATCCCAGGACCTACTGTTATTTTTTATTTTGAGACAGTCTCGCGAAGCCACTAATTTGTTCAGGTAGACTCAAACCTGTGATCCTCTTGCCTCAGTGGGCCTCCATGCCCAGCTTCAGCCTTTTCTGTCTCTAAAACCTCCTCTGCTTGGCTCACTAGGACAGTTATTTTATGAAATAAAATTATGTCCAATTATTAAGAATTTATGACAAAACTTTCAGTTTTGTCCTTCAACAGTAGAACTTAAACTGGGCATAATGGTGCCTGCCTGTAATCCCAGCACTGTGGGAGGCTGGGGCAAAAGAGATTGGAAGTTCCAGGTCAGTATGTGCAATTTAGCAATTTGTGAGGCCCTGTCTCAAAATTTTAAAAAAATTTTTAAAAAAGAGCTGGGGATGTAGCTCAGTACTAAGGCTCTGGGTTCAATCCTCAGTACTGGGCATGGAGGGGCAAAACTGCTTGAAATTAACCTACCAGCCAGGATGATTAAGTTCATTGCCCAAATGCAAGTACATATTTGTAAGTAAAACAGATTACAAAATCCCGACTTCACATCATTATCTTCAAGGAAAGTCCCATTCAAGCTCTCTTTAGCAGACTACACATTCTACATAATTAAATACTGCCTTTCACTTTTTTTGTTTTGTTTTTGTTTTTGTTTTTTTTGGTACTAGGGATTGAACTTGGGTCCTTGCACTTGCAAGGCAGGCAGCAGAACCACTGAGCTAAATCCCCGGCCTATGCCCTCCTTTTGGGGAAAGGAAAGCAAATGAAGAAGGAAGTGAAAGGTGGGGAAATCTTCATAATTAATCTGAAACAAATAGATGCCTGGTTTTTATTTTTTTCCTGAGAGCCATTCTTTTCCAAGCAGGTTTATGGGAAAGATGTATGCTTGTTTCTGTGAGTTGACACTAGGGCACCTGCCAACACCTTCACATCAGAGATGGAGGGATCATGCTTTGACAAAATTGGAGCATGTGGGTCAGTTCCAGCACTCACAGGGCCTCAGGTAGATAGTATGCACATGCGGTTTTGGTAGGTTGCCCCACGACCAAATTTACAAACTGCAATCCCTAGAGATTTATAACCACCTTGGCTCTGAGGACCAAACAGCAATCTGCCAACTTATCAATAGTGAATGTGGATGTGCTCTGGTTGGTCTCACCAACTGTTTGCCATTATATCACATGATGGCACTATCTGGACACTGCGAATGGAGAGGAATCTCAAGGAAAGGGGATTAGAAGAAAATGAAAATGGGCTTTTAGCTCCATTACCCCACAGCCACCATGCTGTTTTCTAAGTATTCTACCTCTCTGTTCGGGAGCTAAAGTCAATATTCTGCTTAAAAGATATTTTTACAAATTATCACAAGAACACAACACACACATAAAGAAAAAAAGAGAAAAAGAGTTTCCCTGACTTGAATAATCGTAGGCAGACTGGAGGTTTCTTAGAAGTTCCAGGGACCACTTTCTACAGTTTTCTGGGTATTCGGTGCAGAGCAGCCTCAGTTGCACTGAGATGCATCTGAGCCACCCCAGAGGGAGGAGAGAAGCAAAACTGCAGGCTTCTGAACCCTGCTTGCACCTAATTTATCAGTGTTCTAGATAAAGTTTGCTCAGAAAAAGAAAA